GGAGCCCGATGCGGGACTCGATCCCGGGACTCCAGGATCATGACCTGAGCCGAAGGCAGTCGCTTAACCAACTGAGCCACCCAGGTGCCCTAAATTTTGAATTCTTAAAGTTGTTCTCCGAATTAGTTATCCTTCGATTTTATAATTTAAAATAACTGGCTAAGCATTTGTTACTGTTAGTATAAACCACTTCTTTTTAGTATATTTTTCTTTTGGTTCAATCTGTTCACTTTTTTTGTAAATCAAATTTTATTTTTACAATTGGACACCCTTTTTCATTTACCTTCCAATTTATCCTATCAGTCAAAATGCTGTTCGGTTTTCTTAGGCAGCTTTATCTGGCACCTTATGGAAATTTCAACAAAGACCTAAAGAAAAAAAAGTTGGCATTCTGTAGTCAGGGGATGATGGACTGCCCTTTGGATATTACTACCCAGCCTAAAACTGCTCCACCTGAATGTTTTAGGGACGTCGTAGACATTGGGTTGATGTTTGAAAGACTGTCCTGGGGCAGGAGGCCCTCACAGTTTACCCTGGGAGGTGCTCCTTCACAGCTTCTTTCCTAATGAAGCTGTACTTGCAGACACAAGGAAAAGCCACTGCCACTCAGTATCTAGTGTCTCACCAGGCAGGGCTCCTCTCCTAAAGCTATAATCCTGGCAGACTGTCACCAGATGAAAGAGCTCTTGTTAATGGTTTCAGCAATTCAGGGAATCACTTAGCAAAAAAGGTACCAATTATTACGAAATAAAAAATGCACTGGCATTATTTAATTTCTCTGAAGTGAACAACAGTGTAGGCCTCCCACATGCCCAGCCTGTCCACAGCTCCGTGTCGTCCACAGTGGGTAGCAGTCCCCGTGCTTTTATGAAAGTGGACTCCTTGCTTCGTTTTCTTTGCAGGTTGCCACCTAAGTGTACATCTGTCGATTCCTGAACAGTACAGTGTAGTTTTGTCAGTTTTTGTATTTTGAGTGAAAGGAACCACTTGTTACATGTCCTTTTATGTTTTCTTTCATTCAGCTCTACTTTGGTAAAATTCATTCATATGTGTAGCTGTATGGTGTTGCATAACAGGAATATACCACAAGTTATCTGTTCTCCTGTTGGGGACATGTGGATTGTGGCAGACAGGGCTGCTGTGAACCTTCTTGTACATGTAGTGTACCGCATGTAACTCCCATTTCTCTAAGGCCTCTAGGAGAGGCATTGCCAAGTAGTGGGTTCTTCAGGTTGATTAGACAATTCCAGACCACTTTGTGAAGTCATCACACCAGCTTACACTGTATTATTAGAGTTACATCATGTTAGATTTTAATGGTGTCTAACCTGATGGGTACATAGTAGGTATAATATCAACTTGAATTACTTAAGGAACCTGACATTAAAACTCCCATGTGTGCAAGCTTTAATGTTAATGATGTTTAGGAACCATAGGATTCAAGAATAGAGTTGGAGAGGGCCCAATATATAGACTGTTGTTGCACACCCAAGCATAGAACCATTTGAGAGAAGCAGAATCTGGATTCAGAAGACTGTGTTGGTCTTGTTCAGTCCTTTCCCCTAAAATGAACAGTCAGATGAACCTGCTGAGAAATAGGCCTGGGGTGTTAAGCTAAAGTCCCTCCACATATGAGTGAATAGGCCCCTAGTCTTAACCCTGGCTGAATATTAGAATCACCTGGGGTGGGGCGCCTGGGTGGCTCAGTCATTAAGTGGCTGCCTTCAGCTCAGGTCATGATCCCAGAGTCCTGGGATCGAGCCCCGCATCGGGCTCCCTGCTCAACGGGAAGCCCGCTTCTCCCTCTCCCACTCCCCCCTGCTTATGGTCCCTCTCTCGCTGTGTCTCTCTCTGTCAAATAAATAAATAAAATCTTGGGGGAAAAAAAAGAATCACCTGGGGAGCTTTGTGCTTCAAAAATATTTGGGCATCTCCACTAACCAGCTAAATCATATTGGGGGTGGGCAGTGGGGAGGGTAGAAGCATGGTGGTCATTCCACTTTCTCAATGATTGTAGTTTACAATTAGTGTTGAAAACCAATGCAACAGGTTGAGTTAATTACCACATAGTAATTAACCACATAGTCACATAGTGACTTTAAATGGAGAACACACTCAAATTTCTGTCAGCTCTCACTTAGCAGCTGAACCTATACTCAGGAATGCTTTAGATAGGAAAAGCTTTTCCATTCTGTATTAACATATTGAGATTAGTTTGGTTTAGGGGGAAACCTTTTGCAGTCCCTGGAGTGTTTCTGTAACCTCTTCCCTTGGCTTGCCTTTGGTCACTCCACACCAAAGTGTAGTGGAACCTGCAGATGCTCTTCCTTGGACAGCTCCTAACCCACCTCACAGGAGATTGCCTCCAAAGGCAAGAAAGCCTGAGTATATTTCCCCTTAGCCAAATGTTTTTTTTTCTTTTCTTTTTTTTTTTTTAATCATTGCCAAGGCTGTATTGCAGAAGTATCTCCCGTAACTCTGTCAGCCATTTCAGCCTTTTCCCGAATCAGTCTATAACTTGCTTTTGTGTTTTCAGATTATCACTAAAAGCATCTCGTTGTTTACACTGGTACTCTTTCTTAGCTGCTGTTTTTATTTCTGGTTCATGCTTAAACTCTATCTTAGCTGGTAGTTGTATATCAGCATACTTGTTGATGTTGATAATTGTAATACAGTTTGACCCTCTGGTTATTAGCTTAAGTTTCTCTTCCATGTTAGGTAATAAGACCACCTTTTAGGAGGTTATATGCATATGAAATCTGCCTGTACTACTTTTAAGCAAAATCATCTTTTTCCTCTGTCGCTTCCCTTCTCAGAATGGGCAGCAACTGTATCGCCACATATATTTGGGCTGTAAAGAGGAAGACAATGTTCAGAAAAACTATGAGCTACTTTATACTTCTCTTGCTCTTATAACTATTGAATTGGCCAATGAAGACGTGGTTATTGATCTCATTCGATTAGCCATTGCTTTACAGGTATGCTTTCATAATCTTTCAGTGAAGAAAACTTTTTTTTTTTTAATGAACTAGACACCATCTTTAAAGTGGTGTTGCTGTTGCCTTTATCCAAGGACATGAATTTTAAAAGGGAGCTTTCTAGTTTTAAATAAAAAATACTCCAAGTTATGGTCATACTCATTCTTTTAACAAATACTGAGTGAGCATCCGCTGTGTGCCACATTTACTCAGAAACTTGGGAATACTGTGACGGGGGGCAGCATGGCCCCTCCACCCATAGTCTTAAGTCTAGTGGGGAAGAGGGTCGTTACATAGTCATTACATATGTAGCTGTCTCATTGGAGTGTGCAAAGGACAGTGTGTGATGGGAATATGTATCAGATATATTTTAGTGTAAGATACATATGGGTACGTGTGCGCATATATACACCCACACACACACACGTATGTGTGTATTTGTGTATCCCCTCCACCCCCCAAAAGACTTTCCTAAGAAAGAGCTATTTGAGAGATTGAACTCTCCTGTAAATGGACATTTATTCTCCTTTCAGAATTCTTTAAAAAACAACTTCTTAAAAGGTAACAGTTTTGTCGTCACTCCAAACGACTTGCGGTTTTTCCGTATAATCATAGAGAAAACACTAATGGAGCATAAGACCTTTATCTGTCACAAGCTGTGTTTGTTTTTTTATTAAAGGACAGTGCGATTATCAATGAGGATAATTTGTCCATGTTCCATCGCTGTGGGATCATGGCGCTGGTGGCGGCGTACCTCAACTTTGTAAGTCAGATGATAGCTGTCCCTGCATTTTGCCAACATGTTAGCAAGGTAAGATGTTGGGAAAAGTCCTTCGACTTGATTTTTATATAAAAATGGCTGATTTTCCTCTGGACTGCTGATTATTTTTAATTTTGATGATTTGAGTATCAAATTATAAAGATAATGCTGTAAAAGTATGCATCACTTTTTCAGTAGTGACTTAACTGAAACTAAACTAAAACTACAGCTAGTGTTTATACTTTTCCTTGATGCCTGTTGCTTTAATAGAATTTTTTTGTATAGTGGTCAAGTAGAATGCTTGGTTTTCTTCTAGAATGTCATGTGAATTCTAATATATAATTGTTTTCCTTTTAAGCCATTATGAATCTTAGTATCTAAATTATTTTTAGTTATACTATTTTATACGATTTTAGTTATTGTTTTAAATCAGTCTACTTGAGCCAGGTCTCAAAGGTTGAAGGAAAACATCTGTTAGAGATTTGTCTTGTCATTCAACTATATTCAGCTTTTGTCAGCAATAAGTCATTAAATAGCTACTTACGCAATTTAATATGAGTTTCAGAGCCTCTAACTTACTTGGCAGAGGAAGTCCAATGTAATTTTTATTCTTTAAAGATACTGGTCAAGGAGAGCCTCATTTTTCTGAAATTGGAAGCACATCTCTCAGTCCATGCTAAAATGCAGGCTTTTAGTGCATTCTAAGAAATAAAACTCATTCATTCGTTAGACAAGTGGTTGACTACCTGATGCCTGCCCTTAGAGATACAAATGCTACAAAAGCAGAGTGCCCCCCTCTCTAAGTTGCTCATGTGCAGAGGGGCCTGACCTCAGAAGTACGTTGAGACCTCAGGCACGTGCTACAGAAGAGTGAGAGTGCCCATGGCCTTGGGCTTTGTCAAGGGGTTTCCAACGCAGTGGCACTCGAGGTGTTCTTATCCTTTTGTCGTAGGTTCAATCAGATGCGGAACATCATTGTTTTTTTATTACATGTATTATTTTATTGTTACAGTTTTGTTACCTTCTGGATTTTTAAAATAATAAATGTGAAAATAAAATGAACCCTGCTTGTGTGCTCTAAATATAGCTTAAATTCCAAAATAAAGTGCTGGTATCTTTCCAAATGTTTAATTTCAGTGTTTTGGTTTTCCAAATTTTCAGAGCCAGGTCCTGAGGAGTGAGGTTTTTGATTTTTTTCTTTTGTTTTTGGATATTTTTCAGGTTATTGAAATTCGAACTATGGAAGCCCCTTATTTTCTACCAGAGCATATTTTCAGAGATAAGTGCATGTATGTTAATTCTTTACATTTTAAGGAAAGGGCACTGGCTTGAGAAACCTTTCAGTGATGATTACAAAGGAGTAAACTGTTAGGCTATTTTCGTGTATTTCGTATTTCTGTCATTTAATGCATCTGACTTCTTTCCCTTGCTATAAAAGTTCTTGTACAGTATAAGTGTAGACTCATGCACACACAGAGTCGATCTTTGATGAAAAAAATATATCTTACCTCTTATCTATACCTCCATACTAATTTTAGTATGGAGGTATATCTCAAATATAGCATGTTCTCATATATAAATAAGCATTTCCTTAAGAGAATACAGTATCCTAGTCAAGACTTTCAGCACTCGTAGCTAACAGTACTCACAAAATTGTGGGACAGAGAGTGTATTAAGAAAAATCAGTGTTATACCCTTCCTTCTCCCTTGCTCTTAAAATAAGAACATATATGTGAACAATACTTTATTCAGACTTTGGAGCTGTAAAAGCAGTGTAATATTGGAAGCATCAGCATAAAATAATGTCAGACAGTTTGAGAAGAAAGTGGACCTTTTTATGTGATTGGGCAGGTGCTTCCTATCACTTTGCTGGCTGATAGGTGTTTCATTAGCAGTCGCTGAGCTACAGTTTGATTTTTCTTCTCTCAGAGTTTTAATTAGGTTAAAGCTGAATTTAGTCCTCTTCGTCATTTAATGTGTGAATACCCACAGAATAATTAAGGCTGACTTCCCCATTGGAACGTTACTGGAGAAGGATTCACAGCAAATGCTTAACATATGGGACCACATACCATGTGCTTTTATAGTCAGATTGGTCACCAAAAATACACTGATTTTTCTATCACTAATTACCTTTTAAGTTGTGTTTATATTTATATTTAGGCTTGGATCTAGCATGCCTGCATGTTGACTTATTTTTTTTTTTTCATGTTAACTTATTTTTGCTCAGTAATTTAAATAATGCTGAATGACTTTTGTTATGATCAACCTGACAGGCTTCCAAAATCTTTAGAGAAGCATGACAAAAATTTATACTTCTTGACCAACAAGATTGCAGAGTCACTAGGCGGAAGCGGCTATAGTGTTGAGAGGTTGTCGGTACCGTATGTACCCCAAGTCACAGGTAAGAGGAGGGTAATTGGAACTCTAACTCTGGTGATGATGTTTCGGTAGTTTTTCCATTAACACAGTTAGCAATGAAAATTCATTGTTTGTATACTTACTTTACCACAGTTTTTCAAATGCTTAGGTTTTACTTTCACTTAAATTTTGCTCTTGAAAACCTTTTAGTAAATCTCTTATGATTTTATCATGAACAAACGGAGTCTTTAAGTGATTGTTAGTATTATACTTAACATATTATTGTACTTCAAACAGAGGAGCCCATGGGTATCTTTCTTCATTAACCCATATTGTGTTCGGCTTATGGAAATATATGTAAATTGTTGAATGAGTGATTTGTGACTACTGAGCTGAATGAGTCAGGTAACTGCCGTCATTGGAAGCGCTGACTGCTTTGTAAAAAAAGGCTTCAGACCTTTTAAGTTAAGAATGTGTTTTCCTCTGTGCACCATGTATTTCTTTCCGTTCTCTTCATTGCCTCAAGTAATTCTGTTGTTTTTAAGGCAAAACTGCATGGTGTCTTGCATTTAGTGTTTAACAACTAAAATCAAAGTGTCTCTGTTCTGCGCCTTCATTGTCATTTGATGATCATATAAGTATTAAATTTGGCAGAAGAACTACTTCTTGCTTTGGGGACACCTTTGTTCTATATGAGAATTGTTTGACTTAGGCAGTTTTCTGGATTAATCACTAAAAATAGCACAATCTTTGTAAATAGCTATCTTTTTTATAATGTGGATCCAAAACATACACATTTATTACAGTGATAGTTCGTAATCCTCTGAGATGTTAATGAATGCTTTTGCATTTTCTTTTACATTCTACACTATGAAAGTTCTATACCTCATGAATTCCTTGGGGATATAACAGTGGTACAGTTTTGTAATTTAAAACATTTTTTTAAAAAGACCTTAAAAATATTTCATTCTTATAATTTGGATTTAGCTCTCTTTCCTTCAGGCAAAAAACCTCATAAACCCAGGCACAAGCACAAAGGTAAATCCAAGTGTCAGTTTGGCCTGCCCTTCCCTCACCTGTCCTCTAGGAAAATAGCTTAATAAAATTTGCCTTTTAGAAATGGAGCCAGTGGCCCGTATATTTTATGTAGTAGTAAGTTCAGTGGTTATTTCCCTTTACCTTCCCAGTAACCATAGTATATTTTCACCTTTGTTGTTTCCTTTTACCCTGTTCCTTTAACTCTTTTAACAGATGGGACTCTTAACAAGTAACAATTTTTAATGAAAATTATGGTACTTGTTTTTTTTAACAGATGGTTTGCTCTCCCCCCCCCCCCCATAGATGTATTCTCATTCTTAATGCCTCTCTATCATTGACTGGAAGAATTCTGAATATTTCGGTATATATTTAATTTATGTAACTGAATAGAAATCCCTCAGTGTGAATAAGGTTTTTCTGATTTATAAAAACTTTGATAGTTTAGAACCAGTTTATGGCATGTACGCCCTGCCTTAATGCAGAGTTTGAAGATGCAGTGATGCTTTATGGTATAATCAATTGGTTATTAAAAATTTTTTTTGCTGTGTAACCATCAGATATTCATTTAAAAAAATCAGGGATTTAAGAAGAATATATCAAAAGAAAACGCAAAACATACTTAGTTTGCTGTGTATCATGCATATACCTATCATCATGAAAATATTAGCAGCCATTTAGTGTGCATTAACTCTGTTCCAGTCACTGAGATAAGCACTTGTATTCATTTTCTCATTTAATCCTTAAAGGTTTGGTGAAGTAGGTAGCATTATCTTTGTTTACAAATGAGAATAATGAGGTGGAAATTAAATAATTTCAGTAGGTAACACTACTGTTTCCCATGTACATAAAGATTGTTCAGTCATCCCTACTGATCCAGATTGTTTCTTTCATGTATTCCATAAACCTTGACTGACTGCCTACTATATACCAAAAATTGGTGTGGTTTTGAGGGTAGAAAGATGTTAAGGATTAAAATCTGGTGGAGAAGGCGGACACATGATTGAAATATAATGGTAGTTGGTTCTAAAGAAAGAAGAAGTGGTCTGCCTAAAAGTTATTGAACTGTTGGTGACTGACATATAGTAAGTGGGCCCTAAATATAAGGTGGTTATAGCATTTTTCTTTAATCTCAAATTCATCTAGAACTTGAGTGAATAGTGTAGGTCTAGGCATGTGCTAAATACTCCTCCATGAGGGGGTACCGTAATAGATCAATCAGCTAGATCAATCAGAAGTGTCAGTGGCTGTAGTAAACTTGTATAGTTAAATGTTTATGAGTATTTACAGTTCCAGCTTCTATGCAAACAGAAGCAAAAACAAAGAAAATAGGTAGAAGTCCCTACTTTCACAGAATTGATAGTCTTTCTCAACTGGGTTCTTCATCTGGACCACAAAGCACAGAAGATGATTTGAGTGACTATTTTCTCAGTTCCCCCCATGATGGCGTTTTACCAGTTTTATTCCAGATGCATAGCAAAGAAGCTAATTCATTATACAATTTGTCTCGAACAGGACAAATAACTGGACAGTTACAGCAGACCTTCAGGGCTATGATCAGAGAAGTTTGGGGTCCCAGGCAGCAGCTAGGAGAGCATTTGGTGGTCCAGGTTTGGTGGGCCAGGCATGTCTTCCAAAGGGAACAATTCCTGGGCTGAACCTGAAGCAGGTGTTAGGCAAGTGTTTTCTTCAGAAGTGTGATGGCATGTGTGAAAGAAGGGACATAGGCAAGAACGTGATTCTTCAGAGAATTAGTATGAAGTTAGCGTACTTGGACTGAATCAGAGGAGTAGGGTTGGGAATTGTAAACACAGGTTGCATATTTTGCACTATTCTGCAAGCAGTGGGGAGTCAATGAGTGATTTTAAACAGGGTTAGGCATTGTACAAGTATTACTCTGGTGGTATTACAGCATAGTGGAGATGGAGCACCCATTTAGAATGCTCGTCAGTAATTTCCAGGAGAGAGGACCATGGCCTGCACTAAGTGAGAATACAGAGAAGTGGGTGGATTCTAGAAAAACCTACAAGAAAGAATTTATAAGCAGTTGATTGGTATGAGGGGACAAGGAGAAAGCCAAAGATTTGTCTTGGTTTCTGCCTTGGATGCTTGGGTGGATGGATGGCACACCACTGAGGGTAAGAGTGGAGTGTATTTGCTGCTTCAGTTGCTTTTGTTTTTTGTTTTTTTTTTTGGAGAGTTGGGTGATATGACTGGGTTTAATTGAAGAAAGAAAAAGATGCACATTTTAGATGTAACTGTCTATACGTTGTTTTGGATCTTGGATGACAGAATGGAGTTTTTATTCACAGAAATGAATAGGAAAAAGTGGCTAGTTTAGGGAATCAGCCTCTTTCTGAGTATCTTTGACAGTGAGCAACCATGTAGGGTGCCCTCTCGGCAGTTAAGAGTCACAGATGGGTTTTGTGTGGGAGTTCAGAGGTTGTAGTGAGCATAGCTCTGTCTAAGAATTGCTTCTAAACTCCCAAGTCCTAGTTAGAAACAATAAGGAGAGACGATGGTCACCACTGTGAATGAATAGCAGACACAGGAAGCAGAGCAGGAGGAGGGATGGGAAAGTGACGAGGGCACAGCAAGCAGTGTCTGGGACGACCCCAGCCCATCTTGAGGATGGAAAGCAGCGGTCTTCCCAGAGACCAGTATATCACTATATCAGACACTGAGATGGTGACAGGGACGTTCTTTAGACAGCAGGACGGTGTAGTCCGTGGAGGCTGCAGTGAGGCTGCTTTCAGTAAGCTTGGAAGAGCAGGTCAGGAACAGACGCAGGTGGCCCACAGGGACCAGGGGCATTATCTCCGTAAGCTCTGTTTTAGAAACCTTACTTTCGTGTAGATGTCCATGATATCTGATTAGAGTTGTACCTGGGCTTTTCTGCAGTCACCTGTAAGCACGTGATTGTATAGGTCAAAAGAATAAAGTTCTGAGAACATAACATTAGAGTTTCCCATTACGTTTTATTTTCTTCCCTTTAAAATTTTTTAATCTTAAATCAACTCCCTCTGGACTATGTTCTCATTGGTTTTTGCCATCCAGTGATTCCTTCCCTGCCCTCACGCCTCTCTTCCCTTTTTATTTTTATCTTCGACTTAAAGCTGACTTTACTGTGCTCCCCATCAGCCTTTGTATGTTAGCCTAGAAATCCTTTATGGGGTTTTTTGTGAGAAACAGGCTGCTATTCCTCATTTTGAGTTCTGATGAGGCCTTGACAGCTGACCAGCTTAGAAGGTAAAAGCAAGTCAGCAGTGATGACCACATACTACTTTGTAGCAGTTCTATTGATGTCATTATGTTTGGTAATTTATATCAAAGCACATGATCGTGAAGAAAAAGAATACAGTGTCTAGGTCGTAGTCATAGCCACAAGCAGGAGATGGGGTATTTTCAGTCTGAAAACCGTAGCAGCGCAATCTGTATTGATGTGTCACAGTTGAGTATGTATTCATCTGTACCTACAGCCTTCTTACAGCAGAACCCGAGTGAATCCTGCGTGGGATAGGTGCAAAGCAGAGTTTGTCACTGAATTCCTGCTGTGATAACCGAGATAAGGCATTAAGTTACATGTCTTAGTACAAGGCCCAAGAAATGTTTGAAGGGTGCCGTTGATGGAAGGGTGATGGGGAAGATCAATCATAACTGTGATAGTAAGTTTTTGTATCTGAAAGAAAGAGGGATAAGTAAAAATAAATGGAGTAATATTTAAAATTTTAAGGAAGTGATATAATATTCATTTAGGCCTTAGAAGATGTGAGAATTTGTGTAGTGGGAGGATGTAAAGAAGGACAAGAAATAAAGTGTTTCCAGTAGGGGTTTCTGTTTCTAGAAAAGCATGGAAGGCAGGAGGCCAAAGCACGCTCAGAGATGGGAAAATAGCACATTTTACTTGAACATTAGATAAATTAGGGAGCAGTTGAAGTTACTGTTGGTAGATCTGACCAGAGACCCCAGAATGGCTTTTTAATTCATCAAGAAGTGGGTGGCTTTGTGGAGTGATGTGGTTAGTGTTTTAAGAAACTTAGGATATGATGGTGGCATATAGGGAATATTGTAGAAGGGGCTATTACTGGTGAGGATGGACTGGGTCGGTGATTCTCATCTGAGGGTGATTTTGCCCATGCCAGGAAATACTTGTCTATCCTGGAGACATTTTTAGTTATCACCACTGTGGGGCAAGGAGAGGTGGGGTAGCCCTACTGGTTGCTAGTGGGTAGAAGCTAAACATTCTGCAATACACAGAAAACCCCCCCACCACAAGAATTATCTGGCCCAAAAGATTAGTAGTGCCAAGGTTTAACCCTGGCTAAGTTAAGTTGTAATAATAATCATAGGTTCTTAGTGGTTTAAAGCAGTAAAGATTTGTTGCTCAAATTAACTGTGCATAACTTCATAGCATCCATATCTGGAATCCAAGCTGATGGAGCAGCTGCTCTCTAGAATGCTGCTTGTTCTTTATTGGCCAGAACTAGTTACATAGTCCCTCTAAACCACAGAGAAGCTGGAATTGCAGTCCTACTTGCTGCCTAGAAAGAGGGTGAACAACCATATTTGATCACCAGCTTCAATTACCACCATGGAAGGCTACCATGGAGTAGAAGTGGTCAGTAAGAAACCAGTTTCTTCATCTGTGCTGGCCTTCTTGTGGTTCTTTATTCTTGACTCTTTCCGTAGAAGAAAATCACAGTATGTATAAAATAGGATTAGAGAGATGGGGTGTTGCCAGATTATGAAGTGACTGTGCTGTCAGACATAGATTCTAGACCTGAGCTTCCCAGCTGCTTTTGGGAACATTTCAGATGTGTCTGGATATTGATCTCCTTAGCCCTTCTAGTAAATGGGTTGTGGCTGGGGCAGTCAGAGCCTACAGTGTGAGCAGCCTCTTCCATTTTACTCTGACATGTTCTAAACCCAACTGTAAAAACTTGGGAAGCTCTGTATCAGTGTGTGGGCTGTATTTGTTTTAAAATTATAATTAAGACTAAAAATGATTTACTTTCAAAATAACACTATTAGCAGTATAAAAGGGAGAGATCAGGTAGGAAGCTATCCTAAGAATTCAGGCAAAAAAGATGCAGAATTTTAATGATGGCCCTCTTGAAAATAAATAGGGCAGTGTGACATAAAGATGGTTTATTAGAGATGTTAAAATTGGGTTTAGAACATGTTGAATAGAATTGACTAATAGGAAATTGGAAATACTGAACTGGAGCTCAGAAGAGAAAATATACTTGTCCAGTTCAACTGTGGTTGAATAAACCTCTAATTCTATGTATTGGAATACATAAAGTGGCTTCAATTTTTTTGGATGAAACCGTAACTATTAGTTGTTCTCCTTGCACCCTGTCCTTCTCCATTGTGCTTCATTATTTCTGTAACTATTTGTTTATTTTGGGTCTTATCTGTTAGACTGTAAGCTGGTATGGACTACATTCAGCAGTCTGTCCCTAACACCTGACATGGTGTCTAATCACTTTATAGATTTATTGAATGCCGAAGGAGAAAATCGAAGTAGAAAAAAATGTGTGGGGGGAGATTATAATAAAAAAAAATTCAAATTTCCACGAAATGGTTAAGCTAAAATGGGCCTAGGGATAGCTGTTGAACTTACTGGGTGGGAAGACACTCTTTTGAGAAGAGTGGTTAAGGGCAGGATTATAACTTCAGGGGTTAAGAGTAGGTAGTGACAGATTACAGCAGTTGGTTCAGACCAAGCATGTTTGCAAAAGTGGGGAGAAAGTAGATTATCTAGAGCACTGAAGTGAAGGGTAGGTTTTTCCGGATAGGTGAGGAGCCGGTGGAGTTGAATGGCTGGAAAGGGTGGCGAAGGAGCTATTGACTGAAGCAGCAGATCCTTTCAGTCCACAAATGTGGTGCATGGTAAACACTTGCAGACATGGGTTCCTGAGCTAGATCCATAGTTAGTGCACAGCTTTCACTGTTCAGGGGAGAAATGAGAGATATAAGGGCAATATTGTGAGTGTTCAGTAAAAATGAATGTATTCAATTTAGATTATGTAATTCCTCCTTTTAGTGTTGACTTTTGTTTTTTATTAAACTATTAGGGTAATGGTAATGTTGCTGCTCTGAATGCCCCTTTTTGGAAAATAAAACTGTTAACTTTAGTTCACCCCATCAGTTTTATTTTTTTTAATCTCCTTGATAAAATTTAAAAGTCTGAGAACACAATGCTTCATACATTTAGAAAGAGCAAAAAAGACAACTGTTTATTTTCTGAGATTTTTTGAAATCTGAAATAGGTAGAGTTTTTAAATGATATACCATTTCTAACTAGCAAGTAATGGGGGAAAAAACCATTTTGATTTTAGATGAAGATCGACTTTCTAGAAGAAAAAGTATTGTGGACACCGTATCCATTCAGGTGGATATTTTACCCAACAGTATTCCTTCTGATGATGTGGTAAGTTGCTGAAAGTGTATGGCAGAGTACTTTCTTGAGATAGGTACCAATTTAAAATAACTTTTTGCCCCTCCATACTTTCAAACAGGAGTAAATATAACTCTAAATTATCCCCATATCGACAGTGCTATTAGTAGACATTAATCTGATTTAGCCTTGAGCTTATTTTTTATTTTACTAAACTCATGTCAGCTCTCAGTAAAGATACATAAACTTAACATTGTGTATTATGAGGTCTTTAGGCTTTACATTGTAATTTAGTGTAATAAAAGGAACTGTGAAACAGAACTAAGTTTTTATCAGAAATGTTAGGTAAGGCCTGTTATTAAATTGGGAGGTGCTCCAAATTCTATTTATTTTTAAAGATTTATGAAACAAATTATGAGAATAAAGGGAACTGTACAATCTCATGTGAAGGCAAGTACTATGTGGAAGGTTTCAAAGCCTCATCTGGGAGGGAAAATTTTTTATCCTTTGATAGTAACTGTAATGGATTTAATGTAGGCTACACTGTATCAGTGCCCTGTGTACTCTCTAAGGACTGTGACTTATTTGAAAGGTCAGAGATTTGATGCTCTCCTCCTGTTTCAATAGAACACAAAAGTGTATCCTGAGTTTTAGGAAGAAGAAAACAGCCAGTATTGTCTAAGACTTACTCTGCACAAATCACCAGAGAATTTTTTGATGGTCAAGTAAAAATGCTGAAATACCAGGATGTCCGCCTCCTCCTTGGAGTTTATCTGTTGTTTGCCTTCCTAGGTTTTTCATTATTTCTCATGGTACAGTATAAATAATTAAGAGATTATCCATCTAAGAAAAGGGGAAGGAATTTGCCTGAATTCATGCTGTCACAACGCTCTCCCCTCCACCTCCCCAATCCCTGTCAGTCTTCAGGAATTGAACTTTTTGGTGGCCAGTTCCAGCCAATTAGCTTACATCTTTTATGGTGTTCCACTCCCCATTAAGTAGAACCAGTCAGTTTCATTAAGAAATTATCAGCAGAGTGTCAAGAGTAGTTAAGAGGCAGTTAGTGTTCATTTTGAAATACAGTGGGTGTAGTTTCTTGCCAGTTTAAAGCTCAAGAAAAATCATCTTCCTGTTTAAATTCACCTCTTGAAAGCCATCTTAATGTATATACTTTTTTACTGGTCAGGAGGGTATTGTGCTAGCTCTGTATTTTAATGATTATGAATTTGTTGCTGTTACCTTTTGGGGGAAAATTAATCTAAAGCCTTAGTTTATCAAGAGTGCAGTAAATTTTATTGAGTGGTATCCCATTCTCTTTTTGTTAACCATTTTTATTTAAAAAAATATATATATATACATATAGCACTTCAAGGTGTTGCAAAGAAATCAATCTATTTTGATAAAAACATTTTATCATTCTGGGGCAAAAAGAACTAAAGAAAATATTTGCATTGTATAAAGACTTAACTATAGGAAGAAGATTCTTAAACATACATTTTGCAATTAAAAGTCCATTAATACATTTGTTAACTTGTTAAAGACCCTGTTTTTTCTTTGCTATAAGTCCTAAGTCAAATATGCTGCACACCGAGCATTTGAAAAGTTAAGTACAGTTTCTTATAAGATTTACCTGAGCACATTGGTGTTTCAAACTCATTTACCATTATGGAATCTGATTTTGCATATTAGGAATGACTGTTCAAAAACCAGAAGACAAAATAACATTACCCTCTAGACTAGAACTAATTAATTTCATAGCATGGAAAGGAGAAATACACGTCAATTAAGTGCTCACCAATTAATGGTGTAACAAAATATCAAACTATGAATAAGTATATTTGCTAACAGTCAAATAAGAGAATTACTCATTTAAAAAACAGTACTCTTGTATTTGATAAAAATTATTTGAAATTTTATATACATAATCCCAGTTAATCCTCAGATATATCCAATATCTGCTTTTAGAGCTTATATATTTTTTTAAAGTCAGAATGTTTAGATGAGATCATAGCAAACTTATGTTTTCCATAGATATAACTCAAATTGTTACTGTAGTCTAATGAATAATCACCACTCAGTTCTTCTTTCTAAAAGGTAATAGTGCTTAATTATTTGGGGGAATGAATGGGAGGCTATACATATTACATTTTCAGTGCATATTGAATTTTTCTTTGTACAAAATTAAGTCACTGGTTGGCTAAAAAGAATTGTCATTTATTCTAGGATAAATAACAGATCTTTGTTTTACACACTCCTGCCTTTTCCCATAAACGAATAAAGAAACTTGCATGTGTGCTAACAAAACAAGTCTAGTATAATATGAGTCGGAAGCTGCTCTGCTAGGTGCTATAAAATTAGTAAGATATCAGCGGAAGTAACATAACAACTAGTCTGATTGGAAGAAGACAAACACATTTTATGTAGGCTCAAGGGTGTTGTACAGTCTAGGTTAGAGCTGTAGATCATGAATAAGGCAAAAGTCATCAAGAGTAAAAGGAGTGTTGAAACTCCTCGAGCCTGGTGCCTTTGCACCATTTCTCCAGAACACACAACTGGTGTTCTAGAGAGGCAAATAGACCGTAGTTTGGTTGGGCACCAAATGAAATAGGTGGCTTGTACTTAGTAGCTACACTGTATGAAAAATAGGAATTGTTGAACACTAATATAAAGCAGTTGGTCTTTTTTTCCTTTTTAAATAGGATTCACAAAAGGAAAGAGTGGGAAACAAGATTGAAGCCAAATTATAGAAGGTTTTGTCACCTGCCTGAGGGCTTTGTGTGTGATTTGGTAGGAAGTAGGGAAACACTGAAATTTGGGCAGTGTCATTATCACGGCTATGCTTTCATGAAAGGAATCTCAGAAGCGTGGCTAGGCTGAACTGAAAAGAAGGGACCGGAGGTAGAGAGGCCATCTAGTAGATCCTTTTACTAGTCTACATTTGGGTAAGGAGGACCTGCAGTAGCCAGGCTGGAGATAAGGTAGGGGACAAGAGAGCAGTAGCCTGTTCCAGAGCAGGATGGGCAGGTCCAAGAAGTAACTAAAAGGGAGTCCGAGAAAGGAGGTTAAAAACAAGAAAGGAGAGGGGCAGAGTGACTGTATCATGATCATCCGAATTAGGGAAAACAAGAACCAATAGAGAAGAGTTCTTGGAATAAAGGACTTTAACTTTTCACTTACCAGGGATCAAATAGGTAATAATTCACAGTTATATGTAACAAGGAGGCTGGCCTCATAGTTCTTCTGTGCTCTTTTCCCTGTACTGTAGTTGCTTCTCAGAAGTCTAAAACTCCTAACCAGTTGTAAGAACGACAGTGGGTTTTTTTCATTGAGGTACTAGACTGCTGCTAGGTACAAATAATTAATGAGCCAGAGCCTAATCCTGTATATCTGCTCCAAATATCTAGAACAAAGCAACTGAAGATTCCCAAGTTTAATCTGACTTCAACTAGAAATATGAACCCTCAGTAGAAAAACTGAGGTAGTGGAACGCTTGCTGCTTGATTTCCAGCTAAAGCCTTTGTATTACAGAGAAGCTAAGGTGCAAAGCATGAAGTCTTGCTTTCGTTAGTCTTGCTGCCTTAGACTTAGCAAAAGAAGCTCATGAGCTAAAATTAGGGATGACCAGAGGCCCAGGCAAGTACTCAGGTATCATTTCATAACTTCTATTCAGAGATACTATAGTAACTGGGTGTATTGCTCCCCCTGAAAATGTGCTGGTGCCGTAAAAAGTATTACTGATTTTTATAAGGCAATTGATTTCATGCCTTTTATATATCTCAAAGCAAGAAATGGGGGAAGCTTCTTATTAAAAGGTATTTCTGGAAAATAAGTGTAGGTGGTTGACCTTAGAAGACCCAGAATATGAATGTTTTAAGATGTTAATTGTACTCATTTGAACACTTCCCAAAGTAGTGGTGATTCTTGCTTCTAAACCATTTAAAGTTTTCAGTTTATTTTTTATTTGTAAACTGTATATGGCACCAAAATTATAGAGGGTGTAAAGTATACTTAGTTTTCATGTATTACATAACTGAACTGTATTGACGTTATTTTCTCTGCCTTGACTCTCTCAAAGCACTGTTCACTTAGGGAAGCCTAGTTCAGTCAGTGGGCCTCAGGCCTGTTGCACACTCCGTGAGTGGAGATGGAGTTCTGTAACTCAGTGGTGGTTGGGTTGCCTACAGGATGCTGATCCTGCCAGCCTAGCATTAATCCCTGCAGTAGGCCACTGGTACCGAGGAGGTAGGGGAGATTATGGGATACTGTGGAGGATAATCACAAATCCAGCCAGCACAGAGAAGAAAAACAACTATAAAAGTTCTTAGATGACTTGTAACTAGGTGAAGGTGTTACTTATATTGACCTTTCTTAACTCTTTATTTTACTTAAAATCACTTTTCTCTAGGTTAGTAACACTGAAGAAATCACCTTTGAAGCATTGAAGAAAGCAATTGGTGAGATTTTTGTTAACTCTCCTAATGATTTGCTAGCTTATCTCTGTCTTAGTACTTGATGAGGTGCCAGAATAAACAGAAGCAGCATGGCATTTGTGCGTAGATCTGTAATTGATTTATTGAGCTATGTTTTTTATTTTTTATTTATTTTTCTTAAAGATTTTTTACTTATTTATTTGACAGAGATATAGTGAGAGAGGGAACATAAGCAGGGGGAGTGGGAGAGGGAGAAGCAGGCTTCCCACTGAGCAGGGAGCCCGATGTGGGGCTCGATCCCAGGACCCCGGGATCATGACCTGAG